TGGCTGCAAGCTCGTCCTCGCCGAGTCCCTCTCGGAGGACGGTGCCAACCAAGTTGACACCTTCCTAGAGCAGCACGGTGGGGCCGGGATCCAGCACGTCGGCCTCTGCACCACCGATATCATCGCCACGACCAGGGCTTTGCAGCGGAGGGGTGCGCGGTTCCTCACACCCCCTGCTGCCTATTACAGCCAGGGGGGCAAAGCGGAGGAGATCCGGGGGGCCGGGCAGGACCCCCGCACGCTGGCAGAGCTGGGCATCCTGCTGGACACCACGACACCCAGGGACAAGGGCCGGCCGGGTGATGATGCCACAGAGAGCCCTTCCCAGGAGTATTTGATGCAGATCTTCACCCATCCCGTCTTCTCCGAGGAGACCTTCTTCGGGAGCGCTGGGCTTTGGGGAAGGCAATATACGGGCACTGTGGAAAGCCGTGCAGACCTATATGGACCAGCAGCCGTAGTGGCAACTGCAATCCTCCTCCCTCAGCTCCCCGTCCTCTTTGGTCCAACCCTGGGGCAATACGCTGCTGTAGAGATACCAGCGGGTGCCTGAGGCATGGCCCAGGTCGGCAGGGACCAAGGGAGGTCTCCAGGTCAACCCAGAGCCAACTTCAGCGTGACAGCAGGTTGCTTGGAGCCAGGTCCAGTGGGGCTCTCAGCATCCCCAGGGATGGAGGGTGATTTCTCCCCCTCCCCGGGTTCCCAGTGAGTTGTCAGCCTTATGTGAAGAACTTCCTGCCTTAATTTCATCTTGATCTCATCAGACTTGGGCCTGTAGCATGGCCAAGGACACTGCTGTCAGAGCAACACCCCCAGACGCAGGGGATGAGGGGCTGCCAGAGGGGAGTGGATAACCCAGGGGCCATGGACGCCACAGCTCATCCACAGTTGCCACCCAGGCCAGCCCCTGTGTGGGGCAAGCGGTAGCCTCTTGCTCCTCTCAATTAAAGAATTAACCTGCAAGCACTGCTTTGGGTTTTTTTTCTCCTCCCATTTAAGATCTGCCAAGTGCCAGGGGAGGGTGAAAGGGCCCTTTCCACCCCTGGAGGCAGGCTGGCCCTGAACTGAGGCCACTTGCCCCTTGCGCATCCCCGGGACTGGCCCCATCCCTGCCAGCCCCAGGCAGGGACACAAGCCTGGGGAGGAGGAAACCCTGGGAAGAGCCTCCCGGGCTTGTGCGTTTGCAAGGGTCCTACTGCGCATCACAGTCAGGGAAAGCCACAGCGTGAACACAGTGGGGAACAGCCTGTCGGAAAAGGTATAAAATGGGGATAAAACCCTACAAAAAGCCCAGGGGATGGCTGCCTAGCCATCAGCCCCGGGGGCTGATCCCTGCCCTCGCAGGAGAGGTGTTCTGGGTGCCTTATTTGGGGTCACCAGCAGTTAATGCTCAGTCGAGGTGCATTAACGAAGAAATCCCTGCTGTCCCCAGCCCCGAGGTAGGGATCCTGCCGGCCATCCTCCTATTTGACCACAGGCTGCCCAACGCCCCCGGCTTAGCACAGTGCAACAGAGGCAGAAAGTCACTTAAAAAAGCCCACACACTTTAGGAGATTTATTATTAGAAAGCCTGTGGCTCAGGTTCAATAAAAACAAGTGTATAGAAAGGGCTGTGGGAGGCCGGGAAGGGTACAGCAGCATCCACAATCGCTGGCTGGTGGAGGAGGTGCAGGCGGGCAGCCGGGGACAGGGCTGCAGGAGCGATGTGGCCACAGCCTTCCTGCTGCCGGAGAGAAACCCCTGCCGCCGTGAGTCCGCAGTGCCGGAGTGGGGGCTGTACAGGGCCGAATAACCCCAGGAGGGCTCCAGCTGAGCGGGGAGGGCAAGCCTGGCTCCAGGTCACGTCCAGGACCACACTGGCCGTATAAAGGCACAACTCCCACAGGAGGGCTGGGGAAGCCGGCGGACTCTGCTGGGAGGAGCGGGAGACTGTTACAGGGCTGGGCATGCAGCAGCATGGAGGACACCATCGCGACGCCACGGGGAGGACTCACCGCCGTGCAGGTCTGCGGTGCCATCACGGGGAGGTGGGTGGCCGGAGGAAGGTGCGGAGGGAGAGTTGCGTCCCAGGGCGGGTGCTGCTTGCTCCCTGCAGCTTTGCCCCCCGCTTCCGCTTGGAGCCCTGCAGGAGACACACACTGGGGCTAAGCCAAACCCCAAGGGCCCCCACAGCCTCCAGGAATTGCCTTTGAGGCAAGGGGGAGGACCCTGGTATTGGGGACATCTAAGGGCAAAGCCAGCCAAGGCAAAGCCCCCAACTGCAGCCCTGCCCCAGGCCAGGGATGCTCCTTGGCCTGACCCCAAAGCTCAGGGGGGCTCCAGCACTGCACACCGGGGCCTGGCCCACAGCAACATGGAGCAGCTCCCCGGGCTGCGCACCCCCAGCGATGCCCACCTTACCAGGGCTGCTCTCCTCCCCACGCTGCTTCTCACACGCTTTCAGCACCTGAAGGAAGCACAAGAGAGCCCAGAGCTGAACTGCAGCCGGGTCCTGGAGCCGGGACAGCCCGCAGAGGTTGGGGGATGCCTGGGACCCCAGGGAGTTGGAGGGAAGGGAGGAAAGGCCCAGGTCCCCCCGGTACCTTCTTCATGGCCGTGGACACGGCTGAGGCATGGAACTCCTCCTCCGTCACCCAGCGGGACGGGGACAAGGCAGGGTCCAGAGTCACATCCCCATCCAGGGGCAGGGAGTAGACCACATACGTCTGGTGGATGTGAGAGAAGATGTGGACAACCTGCAAGGGGATGGGAAGACAGGGAAACGGGCAGGCAGCAGGCAATGCCCTGCTTGCTCAGCTGCCTCACAAGTGCACCGAGTCTGCCAGGACTCTGAGGAGCGGGGCAGAGTTGGGAGGGGTGACAGCAGGGAAGGGGGACCCTCTTCCCCTCCGTGCTATGTCCCCCGTGGCCCCGCACAGGGGCCTCACGCTGCGTGCCTCTGGCTCCAGGCTCACCTCTCCAATGAGCCGCAGGCCCCCGGCTGCCACGGGCCGCCCCGTCCAGGCCTGGAGGTGATCTGCCAGCACCTCCTTCTGCTTCTCCTCCTGCAGACCCTGAGCCAGCGGGAGGCTGGGGAACTCCCAGAGCCCAGCCAGGAGACCTGGGGAGGGGGCACATTGGGGACATGAGCCAGCAAGAGACATGTCTGGGGACACTGAGTCTCATCACACCCTGCTCCCAGGCTGCTCTGTCCCTCGTGAAGGTGGGAAGGGGCCACGCAGTGCCTTCGCCACCCTCCCACCCAGCCCCATTACCCGAGCTGGGTCTCTGCACGATGAGGTACTCCAGGGCCCCATGGCAGCCCCTCCGCTCCAGCACACACGTGGCCGTTCGCGCTGCCCGCGGCTGCTTCTTCGCTGCTTTCCGGGGAAAGTTGGTCACCCCCAGGCTGCTGTCCCATGGCTCTGTGGCTGGGGGGCACAGGGGACAGCCCCCAACACCTGCAAACACCGATGTAACAGTGACCACGGGGCTCAGACCTGGAGCTACAACAGGGATCTCCCCAGGTGCTTACCACAGTCCTCAACATCAGGCACTAGGGTGGGTTTTCCAAACAGCTTCTGAGAGGCGAAGGCCAGCTCTTTCTCCACCTGCAAGGGGGGACAGGAATGGGGACAGGCTCATCCACCAGCCCACCTTGTCCCCATGCGTGGTGACCCCTTAGGGCTGGCACCCAGTGAGGATGTGATGCCCAGCCAAGAACGGCTTGCAGCACTGGTCTGGGACAGGGATGGCTTGTAAGAAGTAGAAGCTTCAGAGGGGACCTGGGGTGACCTGCCACCCTACTGGGACAGCTGGCAGCTCCTGGCCACCCACAGGCTGGGAGAAGACAGATTTTGGGGCCATACCTACCCTGCGCCGCGCTCGGCAGTGCTGCTTCACAGGGCACTCTCCACACAGGGGGGCCTTGGGCACACACACAGTTGCCCCCAGCTCCATCAGGGCTTGGTTAAAATCCCCTGGGCGGCTCTTGTCTACCAGGGCATTGGCCATGTCCCTGGGAGAAACAGCAGTGAGCGGCGCGGGGCTCTGCGGGGAGAGGGCCCCAGGACCTTTGCCCACCTCCTGCCTGCGAGGGGGGATGCTCCTAGGTAGGCAGAGGCGAGACGGCTCCTTTCTGCACCACTCCCAGCAGCGCCAGCTTCCCAAGAGCTCCCGCACCTCTCTCCCTTCGCAGGCTCAGCTCCCCACGGCTCCCAAGTGATCCTGCCCTCAGCCACCAACAAGGACAGCCACCATCACCACAGCTCGGAGTGGGGACGGAGCGTTCCCCTTACCAAAGCCAGT